TACTATTCTTGAGATCAGTATCCGAAAATCGATTCATTTCGTGCAAATCGTGGTCGTTGAGACTGCTGTGATTTGACTGATTACTCACTTGGAAAAACGAACACGAAACATTCGCAATTAGGGGATTATGTTCAAGTAACAACACGCTTTTTATCAATACATCCACATCCGTTTGCAATGTTGTGTGCAAAAAATACAAATTCTTTTATCCTGCAAATGTTACGTTTTTATTTTAAGAGAAAAAGGTGCTTCAATAGCAGCCATACAGACATCCAGATACAATGCATGTTCTTCGCATATATCACCATTTTTCTATTGATTCTAGGGTGAAAGCGCACACTTTCGCTTGCAACATACGATTTCGCACCAGGACGAAGATGAAATTACGTTTTCGAAGAACGCGATAAAAAGCAATCAGCGAATACACATTGCTACGAGATACTCACATTTATTTTTATTTACTCCATCCATCGACTGTCGCGCAGTGTGTGCAAGAAGAAAAGCATACAAGCAACATTAAAAATTGTTTTTTTCCAGTTCAAATTGGTAAATATTTCCAAGAAATTTTCCAATATAATTAAAAATCACTTCAAAAGTCAGCTTAGAAATAGTAATTAACTCGATTGCATTTGTATATTTGAGAGAAAGTCGTTTTCTAAACTACTACCCGTCTTCAATTACAATAGACATGCGTGAGAGCAGGGTCAAAATTAAAATCAAGTTTTGATTTCTAGTGTGGCCCTTTGATCATTTACATCGTAGCCTATGTTGAGGCCGCAGACGGTTTCGTGAACATGATATTGTACCAGCAAGACGTTTTGAATGTGTATCGATTAGTAAAACATTCTCCATTAGCCGTAGTCCAATATTTCGAATTACAGTCAATTGAAAGTTGAAATTTGTCACTGACAACTAAGCGTAGAATTTGTTGTAACCGAGACGAAAATAATAATCGTAAGTAGCCTTGAAAAGATTGCTTCGCCCTAAACTTAGCACAATGTCTTACTATTTTCCACCTATTGATTTGATTCTTTAGAATTTCGTGTTATAAGATTTTCCGGATATTATATATTATAATCATAATAGTATATTGTAAGAATTATGAAGCATGGATATGGATGTATGTTTGAAGTAGAGGCCCACATCTACACACCCTCGGCAATCTTATCGTGAAAAAATAGCCGAGAAATATTTCTTTTGCTAATTATTTTTCGATTTCTGTGAAAAATCGTGATTTTTCAAAATGGTATTTACCACTGTCTAAGGTATCGTTTCTTTTCGAATGGAAGTCTCAAAAAAAACAATTTAAGATTCCAATATTTAAGGTTCTGATAATTGATAAAATTTTGATTGATTTCAGAACATTTATTCTAATGATGACGCCAGTAAAGCATAAGCGTCAATCACTGTCAATTTGTAATAATGCTTGAAGAACAGAGGATTGAAAAGGCTTAAAAATTGATAACATAAGAGCAAAATGATCTTTTATGATCCGAGAATATGATCCTTATGTAATGCTATGTTTCCATTGTTTGTGGTAGGATTTCCATTGAAGGTTTTCTTGAAGCTGATGAGAAACAATGGGGAAATAGCATCGTCAAAAAAAAGAACCTTTAGACAGAGAAGATAAGAAATTTCGATTGTGTGGAAGTTTATTATCTACTCTCCAACGATAAACCAAAGAGTTACAATGAGTCTCAAAAATCAATGTACATAATCCATTTACTTAACCCTTCGACGGTGTCGTGGGGTCCAAGTGGACCCACTTGACAGTTTTGTGCATAATACAATGTTACCATTTGGTGTTTCAGATCAAATCTATTCTCTAATCTCTAGTCCTGAGTAGCTGCATAATATGCGCACGAGAAATGATATATAGGTCTAAGCAGGAAAAAGTACAGGTATAGGTCCAGTTGGATCCTAGAGCATCCACGGTGTTATAGACGCAATTTTTCGTCCTACTGTGGCTTCTAGCTGTTGCCTCTCTATTGTTTCTCCAAATATATTTATACCTTGTCAAACATGTGCAAAAAAAAATTACAAAGACTTTGAGTTTACAAAAGAAAGTCAGATACAAACAATATCAACATTGTGATAAAAAAATCAAGTTTTCACTGTTTTTAATTATAAAAAAAAAAGATAACAATAAAGATAAATAAAAAAAGAATTTTTAGTTCCCTTATTTATAGAAAATTGTATCTGTGCACATGTTAGTATAGATCTAACGTTCTGGGAGGCTAAAGTGATTGAGTACACTGTTTTTGAACTTATTTGAATATTGCTATAAAAACACTTTCAGGCAAGTTTTTTTGCCGTATTGCTTATATTTATACGGTTTCCATGACAGCTGATGCGTAAACATCCATAAGCAGAATATGTAAAGACTTCTAGTACACAAATGATTTGCTTAAATAAAACAAAAGTGGTGGTTTTCTCAAATTTTCTATACATGAGTCCAGGCGGACCCTAGGACACCGATGAAGTTATAAAATGAGGACACCATCGAAGGGTTAAAACAAATTTTTTTGTTTTGTTTGAGAGCGCCCTATTTTTCTTTTGCATTGTTGCTATGCGCTCATTATCTTTCATTTTTTTTAATGTTAAATTGTTTTTCGTAATTCAACATTCTTATTATTATAATCACTGAATTAATTGGCAAATAAATCTGTTTTATATATCCATAACATCTACAGAAGATCTTACGCGCTATTATATATATATATATATTAATCAACTCACAAACAATGATGTTGATTATCTTTCAAAATTATAACTTTATCCATTTTTCAAAAAAACTAGAAAGTCTGACGCCTGTTATTCTTAATTACTAAGGTCTATAATGGGACCTTACGTTACTATGTGTCTGTAATGGGACCTTACGTTACTATGTGTCTGTAAGGGAAGGAATAGGGGGGGGGGGAGGGGAACCGTCAAAACTTAACCTTGAAACTCACACTCACTATTTTCTTCGAAAATATATGTGAGTTCCACAAAACATTTAATGAATTCTGATCGTTTTGATTTCTGTGTGCCTACTTAGTCCGATAGAGTAATATTATAGTCAGATACTACGCAAATAGAATAGTCTATTTTTCTAATGTTTTTCCGTTTTCTAATGCATACATAAGCACTTGCACAGAAATCTCTATGAACAATTGGAAGTTTCGTTTCTTTTTTACTCTTTCAAGTCATATTCACCCTATATTGATAACGTACGAGCTTTGTCGGACTTATAGTACTATTGTGCCAGTGAGTTTTAGTTTTCTTCGGACGAAACTGTATGCCTCTTTTTATTTTCTTTTCTATTAAAAATCCTCTTTTTTCCAAGAATGCTGAGCCTCTTTTTTCCTCTTTGTTTTACAGAGTGTTGGTGGGATGCCAGTTTACTGGAATCAGCTTAATAATAAATATTTGATTGTACATTTTTAGGGGGCAAATGCCGTCAATGTAATATCAATATCATGGCTTGCATTGTTGCACTAAATTCTGGCAAAGGTTCCTGTTGCAAACAAAGAAATTGCGGCTCCAAACAAAAAATGATGCTATGGACAGTCTAAAATATTGAACTCTCATTCCTATTTTATTGTCATTTTTTAATCTCGCTTAATAAAAACTTACTTCGATTTCTGAATCTGTTGATTATTTTTGAAACACAGATTAAATATAAATATGTGAAAAATGTAGACAACTAGAAATTTTCCATTGTCATCAGAAAAAGGTTTGAGGGTGGGTGTGAGGATGAGTTTATCGAGGATAGATTCAGAACATCATACTATGTGTTTCTACCCTGTCGGGCGTCATCGGGTGATCTTATGATAAGAATATGAATTGAATAGCTTATAAAAATGAAATTATTCGATATCTTAATCATTTACTTCGCATATCTTTACAAATAGTATCCGTTGGTACAGAGAAAATGAGCCAAACTTTATGTTTTATTTTTCGCCATTCTGTCTTAGCTTTGCTTTTACTAATGCTTTTACTAAAAGATGCACTGTCAAATTCTCTACGAAGCAATATATGAATTGGCGAGATGTGCTTTGAGAATTTAATTTTCGATAATGAAAAGTGAAGACTTGCAAAACATCGTAAAGCCGTTGACACATTAGAAGACTCGGTGTCTTCTATTTCGTCTTATTGTTCATAGGTTATAAGGAGTGTTTTCTGTTGTGTCCCGCAAAAAAGTGATAATATTGGTAGTCTTACCAACAAACTGGATCTTCCAGTCATTTTCCCCCGATTTATCGTTAGTAAACTAAATTAGTTCATTTATTTCACACGAGTAGAATGAGCAACAAAAAAAGATATTTCCTTGTGAAAGAAAACATTTGACAACGTCTAGTCTACCATAATTGTTTCTGCACACGGCAGCATCTATTCCTTTTTAAACCTTTAGACTTTTCTGTCTAGCCATTCTTCGGAAAAGGAATATGCTTGAGCAATAATCATAGCATAAGCTATGTTTCTTTGAACTATCAATAATTTTGTTCACCGTTCGATAATCTATTGTTGGGTATATCTCTCATTACATTCGTTCATTTGATTTCGTCTTAAGAATAGCCTCTCGTAAAACTAGCCAGTCGTGTGATCCTTTCCTATCTGAGAATCTTATTTGACCTTCATATTCCACTTAACATAAAGGAAGAAAGCGAATCTCCAGCCACATGCAACTACCTATAAGACATGAGATCTGTGCTACTTTTCAAATAGGATCGATTTTGCTAGCAAATCCACTTTCGTTCTTTATTTTTGCGATAGTCAACCGCTCTATTTTTTATCAAGCTTCTTTTTAATGACCTCAAAGGTGCTGCGCAAAAGATGTGGGATAACAGTGATGTGTTCGATAAATAGTATCATGATATAAACACAATAAGATCAGTAAATGAGAACATAAGGTATGGTTTATATTTGTCCTTTTCTTTTTTCAATCCCCTATAAATATAAGAACGGATTTTTCATTCACTATCATATACAAAGCGATTAAAATAGAAAACGACAACATGCTCTACTACGCAGTTTTTATCGCTTTTGCTATGCTTGCAATCGGTTCAAATGATAAACCAACGATATCAAAGGCAAATGAACCAAAACGTTGCTGTATACCAAAACAGTTCAGTGCACAAATTAGTACATCACATGGTGTGAAATTACCAGATGGTACAATAACTGCTTCATATGTAAGTCATCCCTACAGCTGATAGTTTCATCTAAAGTATGATCAATGAACTCAATAGGCGTATTATAATATTTCGTATGATGGAAATCGTGGTATGGTTGGACTGAAAGGTGTATCATTTTCGATCCCGGATCAACAGCAATCGAATCTATGGATTATTGAAAATACGAATGATGGACAAATCTATACAATCGATCAAGATTCAAAACAATGCCAAAAATCACAAATGCCAATTCAGCCACTTAGTTGTATACCAGGTATTCAAAGTTTGCTTCGTTGCTTTTTTTTATATTAGTAACCAAAACACAATTCTTTTTTTTCGCTTCACAATAGATACAGCAACTTACCTACATTCATCCACGTATGGATATGGTGATAAACCAATTATCGGTGATACATGGCTTGTCACAAATGATAACATTGTTAATTATGCTACGGTTAGTCGCGATGATCTTTGTGTTCCATTAAGTGGACATATTTTCCTTCCTTGTAAGTAATTGTTTTAAGAGAAAGATTTATCAATTTATGTTTGGTCATTTTAGCTGTATTAACTGCATTGACAACAACAGATTTTACACTGAAAATTGATGATCCAAGCATATTTAATATCCCGGCAGAATGTCAAAATGCTGTCTAACTTTCAGTTTTTATCTCAGTAACAAACACACATTTGTAATACCTTGACGTATCGTTTTTGTATTCCTTTTTGATGAAACAAAGAAAAGATCTAATAAAGAGATTTGTGCGGTCGTATGTGTGTACTACATGGAAAAAATCCCAAGCATTGCAGCTGAACATGTAACATATGAGATAAACAGACGTTAAATAATCAATACAGATAATATGGATCCAGAATTGAAATAATTGTGCAAACAACTGAAATACGAATAACAATAGAGGGATATCATTGGAAGAAGTAACATCTCAATGGAAATATTAGTGGAAAGAAAAAGTGAGAGTCTGAATTGGGAACAGTCAAAGAAAACATAGAATGAAGACTGGCAAGGAATTGAGAAATGGCAATTCTTAAACTGTCTAGAAACTGTCAGCAAAATCATGATCGTTCCTTGAGAAACTGAAATTAATCATCAGTCCTTCCAGAGTTCTGAGAGCTTTTTTATACGACAAATAAAAAAGTTCGGAATCGCTTGAAAGTTTTCGACTCAAAAAATTTTCATCAAGAGACATGACATGTCACACTCAGATTGTTTTCTTAATGCATAGAGAAATATGTCCAGTTGATCATCATAGGTATGTGTGCAATGGAAAAAAAACGCGAAAACGACTAGAACAGACAAAATATTTCGATGATTTTTCATTCATTTCCCAAATGTTTGAATAATTCATCTACATGCACATGCAGCTTTGCTATATCTACCGAGTTTATTGATTCCATGTATTCCTTTAATAGACGATGAGAATTTTGTAAATATTTCAAAACGAGTTGAAGATTAGCTCTATTTTTGATATGATACTGGTAAATGTTGTAATAGAAATCAATAAGATCGATAGAATTTACTTCGCTAGCCAGTACTGAAGTTTCTAGAGATTTTTCAAAATACACTAATGCTTTCTGTCAGTTAATGTCAATGTCTCTGTCCTTAGCTATGCGTCGACCTGATAGTCGAAGATTTTTATACGCACTTGCAACATCAAATTGGAGGATGGAAATTGATTGGCAACTATTCCATAAAATCGATTTGCTTGTTCATATTTCTCTATTGTTCTCAAGGCTTGACCCCGGTACTAAATAAGTGTGATATTCATGGAATTGATTTATTTTGTTAACATTGTAAAAATCTTGCAGAGGACTATCTTCTTTAAAATTGCCAACTAATATAAAGTTTACTATTTATATCCTCTCGGTTAGTTCGTGTGTAACAGAAATAATTTTGACTCTTGTACCAAGAGAGAACAGAATTTCAAATTCTATTTCATAAGAACTATATTGTTGGATATGAAACATAAGATTTTGTTGTTTTAACAGATATGTCAACTTTTATCTCCAACGAAACAGATTCAATGAATGGGTTTTCGCAAAAATACGAGCAATATCGCGATCCATCGTGCTCGATAGAAATGTATTTTTTATTGTGTAAGCGCCAAAATTATCTTGAAATTATTGAATTTCCATTGGTTCTAAGTGTTAATGCCTATAAACAGTCGTAACTGAGTTTGGTTTATTGTTTCAAATTGAATCTTGCAGTGTTTTCAACTGCATATAAGGATTAACAATAAAAAGATGATATTTAAATATAATATCTATGTTTTAAGAACAGAATGCTTTGTTTCACAAGCGACATATAAAGCAATCAGGTGTGTGTTACCGTATCGCTTATTTTTCGCAATACGATTTTTCAAATTCGGCCATTTTTATTCAACTCAGTCGAGTTATAATGCTTTTGAATGTTACGAATCATGTCACTATTGGCACAATCATTAATTGGTCTGAACGGTAAACAAATCGTCAAACATTGGCAAGATAAACTCAAATTAGACATGGGTAGGACCAGACTTGAGATGTCGAGATGGGACTCGGGACTGAAATTCTTTCAGCTGGTCTCGAACTTTTTCTTTACGATGCACATCGTAGCTGCAATTTAGAAGCCATTTGTAACTCAATTGTAGCGAATTCGAAGAGAAGTCACATTATTCTCTTAAGATTATAGTCCGTATATAGGCTTCTTTTTTCAAGAATGAATAGTCTAGAGTCTGAAGAGTTAAATTAAAACGAAAAATATTTTTCTCTGTATGTATATCTCTGTCTGTCTGTAGCTTGTTATCAGAACTTTCGTTTCTCATACGAAAATATATCGTTGAGTTTTGTTCTATCCAAGTATAAATGATTTATATTCTAGATTCAACAGCTGTAGGATCTACAAAAAAATTATTGCTCATTTAGCCAATGTGCATCTGTTAAAATATGTTTTCTTAAACCACAGTATATCTGATTCTTTATGATGTTGTCATTTTCCAATTTTTCGGAATCTTTTCGCGTGGTTTTTTTAAACTTTTCTGACATATTAATTATGAAATATAGATGAAAGGAATCAATGGTTCGCTTCTGAATTTCTACCTATGCTTAATTTAACAGTTGAGCTATTTCTTGCGTATTGATAGCTTTTTGTTTATCAGATTCTCACATTTTCAATGAATTTGAATCACGACTTCATAAAGATATTCCATTATCAGTATGGAACCAAGTGACTTGGACCCCGATGAATGTTATTTGTCAATGCGCAGAAGAAAATAAAAATATACGATGAGCTTCAAAAAAACCAAATTTAGTGATAATCTGACGTATGTCACTATCCAACAAATAATTTTCCTAGAAAGACAAATCTTTATCTAATGGATATCAACTGATGGTATGCATGAAAAAGAGAGACATACGATCGAAAAAGGCATCACCCACATAAAAAAGAACAGAAAAAAAATCAATTATAATTGTTTCATTGTCATGCGATTATTTTGATTATAATCGGGTGATAATGCAACAGTTATCAATTGATTATTGAGTCTTTGTTTTACATGGACTTTTTCAACCAAAGGCCGATATGACGTCAGAGGATACTAGGAGAAAGAGAAAAAAACAGGTAAAGAACGAAAGAAAAAAAATACAGTGAATAATAGGAATCAGTAGCACCGAATACAAGAGAAGAAAGAGGACAGGAGTTAGAGAGAAATTATACACTGCAACACAATGGCCTGTAACAAAAGGGAATTCTAATACCTTTTTATCGACAAAAACATTTCCGTCTAACATTATAAGATTTGATTTTCAGGACTGGGATCGGTACTGGAACTGAAGGTTGAGTTTCTGGACGAGACTCGGAACTAAAAATCGGATCAGTGCCGGGACCAGAACCAAAAAAGAGTAGTCACGCCCATCTATAACTCAGATCTTTCCTCTGTTTTCAATGCTTGCCTTTCAATAAAATTTTGTTTTTTTGTAATGAGCATTTATGTTGCGTAATATTATTTCATTCTGCTCAGCATCAAGATCAAGTTTTAAGGTGTGGGTGTGAGTGCTGTAGATGGTACGAGTGTGGACGAGATGAAGACTCACATACGCAATCACATTCACATCCGTATCCATCTGCACCCGCACCCCTTTCCATTCGAGATATGATCAAATTTATATAAAAAAATTGGCTTTGTATCATTTGTTTTTAAAAGAAAAGCCGTTTTTCTGTGAGTCAAAGAATCTCGGATATTAGCAATAACTGTATAGATACTCGATCATGGGTGCAAATGTATCTAAACTTCAAATATCGGATCAACTGACTTACAAAGTTCCCAGGATTTACTAGTAAATTGCCTGGAAGTATAGATTTATATATATATTCGAGAAGCAAAAGAATATAATGTTGAGGTTCAGCTACAAGCGTAGAAAAAATAGAAACTTATCTGATGATGTTCGTGATCTGTGTAGAAGCAATAAAAATACAATTCATTTCGGCACTATGAACAACAGATGAAACTGGAAGTTGAATATCTTGCTTCGTCACATAGAGATGATTTGAACAAGGAATAAATTTCGACAACACTATATTTCTAATACACAATTGAAAGTATTTGAGATCAGATAATTTATTAGTGAATCGTTATAATTGCATAATTCAGTTGATTCAATATTTGAAGTTTAAATACAAATACTTTGACTCACAGAGAAATGATTTTTTTTACAAAAAAATCATAAAAATCCCAAGTTTTTTATATACACTTAATCATATCTCGGAAACGAAGAGCTGTGGGTACGAACGTTTTTATGATTTTCGTAGTCTTATTGAAATCCACGTATACCCAAAAGATGAAGTCAAAAGTTCTTAAACAGTTGGAGTAACTCCCTCGTTAGAAATGCTTAGTTTGCAACATTATCAGATAAGAATATTTCCAATGACGTCATATATAACATTGAAGTAACACAAACAAATTATTATTTTTGCTGTTCTTCTACTTTCTACATTATTATTTCTCGTGTGTGGAGAACGCATTTATCGATTGCCATTTTTTGCTCTAAGCAAAGGATCAAAGCGAGTGTCTTTTACTTTTCTGTTCTAAGCAATGATAATGTGGTTCTCTATTTTTACAATCGTTGTTTTTATATACGTTATTTATCGTTTATTGAAATTTTGGATATTTGATCCATGGCGTATTCACAAAGATTTGTGGGCGCAAGGAATTCCTGGACAATACATACCTATAGTTGGTGAAGCTTTTAGTATACGTCGTGCTATTCTTGCTGATGATCCAATGTCTTATAATATTGAAATGACAAAGAAATTTGGTAGTTATTATCATACATCATTTGGTCCTCTAGCTCGTTTGGTCATTAGTGATCCTTTATTAATTCGAGGAGTATTGAAAACAAATGCTCATGCTTATCATAAATCTACTTTAATACACCTTATTCTCGGTACGATATTAGGATCTGAAAATCTTTTAATGGCTGAAGGTAATATTCATGCACAACGTCGACGACTTATTGCACCTGTTTTTCAACAGCAAAATCTAAATTCTATGATTTCATTTATGGTTGAAATAACATCTAATCTTCTTAATAAATGGTCATTGACTATGACTAATGCAAATAATACAGATAATATATTAATTATTGATATTCATAAAGAAATGACAGGTTTAACATTAGATATTGTTACTGGATGTGTCTTCGGAAGTGGACTAATGAAAGATGAACATGTACGAGAAATTATTTATCAAGGTCTTACGAAAACATTAGAAGATGTTGAAGAAAGAACATTTAATATGATTGCTATTATTCCAATTATTAATCGATTACCATTAGCAAGTAAACGACGAATTGATAAATCAAAAGAGAACATTCGACATGCTGTGAAACAAATTATTGATGAACGAAAAAAAGGATTTACTAAATCTGCATGCAAAGGTTTTGTTTATTTTTTAGGATTTAATTTGTGATTTATTTATATATATAGGGCCAGATTTACTTGATTTACTTTTATGTGCACGTGGAAATGATAAAACAAGTAAATTGACTGATGAAGAAGTCTTTGCAGAGGCTTTAACATTTGGTATAATTAAAATCATAATATATTCTATAAAATTTACTTCATAATTTAGTGCTTGCTGGTCATGAAACAACAGCAACCTTAATGACTTGGACACTATACAATTTAGCCAATAATCCTGATATATATCATAAATTAGAAG